TTTCTGAACGTTTGAGCAGCCACATGCACATTTGTGGCCCGCTGGAGGTCATTTTGCAGGGCTCTGGCAGTGCTCCTCCTGTCCCTCCTTGCACAAAGGCGGAGGTAGCAGTCCTGATGCTGGGTTGTTGCCCTCCTACGGCCTCCTCCACATCTCCTCATGTACTGGCCTGTCTTCTGGTAGCACCTCCATGCTCTGGACACTACGCTGACAGACACAGCAAACCTTCTTGCCACAGCTCGCATTGATGTGCCATCCTGGATGAGCTGCACTACCTGAGCCACTTGTGTGGTTGTAGACTCCGTCTCATGCTACCACTAGAGTGAAAGCACCGCCAGCATTCAAAAGTGACCAAACAATCAGCCAGGAAGCATAGGAACTGAGAAGTGGTCTGTGGTCACCACCTGCAGAACCACTCCTTTATTGGGGATGTCTTGCTAACTGCCCATGCTTTCTACCTGTTGTCTGTTCCACTTGCACAACAGCATGTGAAATTGATTGTTAATCAGTGTTGCTACCTAAGTGGACAGTTTGATTTCACAGAAGTGTGATTGACTTGGAGTTACATTGTGTTGTTTAAGTGTTCCCTTTATTTTTTTGAGCAGTGTATTTTGTTACTATACTTTGTGCACATTTATTCATACAAATTCTGATCTAGTCTGTATTATCCCAACTTGGATGTTTTTTCTGAAAAGCTATGGTTAATTCCTTTTCAGCCACTAAATACAAATTACAGTAATCCTCAACATACAACCATATTGGAGTCTGCCCACATGCTTTAATTATCGTAAAACTTCAACCACATGTTTCACCAAATTTTATGTCCCTTTATGTCCTTGTGGTGGTCATTAAATGAATCACCACTGTGCTGCAAATGATAAGTTCAATCACATGATTGCAGGGGGACCTGACTGTGGGAACTTCGAATCCATGTTGTAAATCCCCTTTTTTGGGTTGTATCTTTAAATGGTCCCTAAGTGATCAGCCATAGATCAAGTACTACCAGTATATTGACATCACAAGTTAATTTAAAGAGATGGTTAATCAACAGAAAATACTGCCTCCCAATCATTTCTGGTTGTAAAACAAATTTTGGGTACAAATTTCAATTTTTGGAACTGTAGCTATTTCAGGTTTGAGCAACATAACATGCATCAAAACTTGATTAAAAAGCCAAGGAGCTGCTGATACAGTTCTACAGAGGAATTATTGAGTCTATCATCTGCACCTCTATAACTGTCTGGTTTGGTTCTGCAACCCAACAGGACAGACACAAACTTCAGAGGATAATTAGGACTGCAGAAAAAACAATTACTACCCATCTGCCTTCAATCGAGGACCTGTATACTGCACGAGTCAAAAAGAGGGCTGTGAAAATATTTACAGACCCCCTCATATCCCAGACATAAACTGTTTCAACTCCTTCCCTCAAAACGACGCTATAGAGCACTGCACACCAGAACTAGACACAAGAACAGTTTTTTTCCTGAAAGCCGTCACTCTGCCAAACAAGTAATTCCCTCAACCCTGTTCAACTATTTACAAAGTCTGCACTACTATTACTGTTAATCTTCTCATCACTCCTTATCACCTATCCCCTTGCACTTGTGACTGCATGACTGTAACTTTGTCGCTTGTATCCTTACGATTTATATTGACTGTTTCCTAATATGATTTGATTGCTTATTATACCCTATGACTATCATTAAGTGTTGTGACTTATGATTCTTGACTCTTGACAAATGTATCTTTTCTTTTATGTATACTGAGAGTATTTGCATGAAGATAAATTCCTTGTGGGTCCAATCACACTTGGCCAATATTCTATTCTATTCTATTCTATTCTATTCTATTCTATTCTATTCTA